CCACCCCCGGCTAGTGGCTCAAGTATCGCAGATGATCATATGTAGTAATCCGCCTAAAAAAATATAATTTTTTTTAGGGTTTTATAAAAAGAAATTAATACATTATAATGAACATTTCAATACGTACCACTAATCTCTCGCCAAGTGATCGAGGAAAGAAGGTCTCCGGAGGCTCAACTTGAGGTTGTAACAGGTAGATAGAAGCCCAAGATCTATACCACCGTAGATAAGCACCAACTTCTTGGTTGCATGTACCTATGACTGGCATGATGGGTACCACGTAAGCCCTTCTCTCATCCCACATCTGGAGGTAGTCACGATACTGTACTGTCCAATCTTGATCTGCTCGACCCCTACCATCAATGCGCCTGAATGACTGTTCCATGGGTTCAATTTCAGTGGTTGGTGGACCTGAAAACTGTCTTACAACCCGGTCTGGAAGGTGCCACTCTGCACGTTTCCAACTAATAAGCGGTACTCGTGCCCTCCAAATCTCTTCTCCATCATGATACTGTATTGGAAGAGCAGCTAGAACTATATGGATATATAGAGTCATGATAACCTAGAAAAATGTAATAGAAATTTTGTTATAATTTTGGAGATAAAATATATTATTTTAATAATAAGACTTTTATTATACCTGACTCATACGCAACCCATCAAACTCATCTATGTATGTCATTGTATTGCCTGCAGGTAGCTCACGTATCCTATCTTCAGCCCACCTATATATTTGTATGAACCATTAGTAATGAAATAACAAAATATCTTTTATTGACCAAATCTTACGAACCTGCAACCCAATGGACGGCCGGCTAAGTCAATAATCTGTGGGACTCGGAGTGTTGTTCTACCAATATACAGTCGTTCCAAAGACCAAACTTGCAGGAGTGCCACACAACCCGCTATATATGTCCTTGTTGGTCTTGTTGCATAACACAGCTCCCTGTAAAGATGTGCAAGAACAGCACCACCAAGTGACATCCTACTGAAGCTGTCAACATCCGCTAGTAGAGGTAGTCATTGTAGTGAAACATGACTACGTGATGTATCTGGAATTAGAAAACAACCTATCATGAATAGGATATATGCACGAACATGTCGTAGGAAAATATATGGTGCCAAATCATCATAGGACTCTCTGTAAAATGTCCAGCAGAGCCAACGTAGTGGGAGCATCGAATCTATTTGTGAAGAACCCATCCTGAATGTCGCAACGTCTTCCTCATCATTGGGGTCATGGTATACTGTATCCCTCCCAGGATGCGTCCCAAGTAACTCGTCACAGCAATTCGGCCATGTTGGCCAAATACGTCCTTGCCCAACAACATTTGGGCCAACGACTGCAGGTCCATCAATTCTAAGCCCCAGTAAAATTTGGACATCCTGCAATGTGATAGTCATCTCACCGATTGTTAAATGAAATGTGTTTGTTAATAGGCACCATCTCTCCACCAATGCCTGAATCAGGTTGTGATTCAACCTAATAAATTGCAAATGCCTGAAGTTTTGAAATCCCAGGTTATTCAATACGTATATCATCCGTGGGCACTCAATTGGCCATTCCCTAGCCATTCGCAGGTGAGATGACGCAACCAAAGGAGATGCCTGAAAAGTTCAAATTATTAAATATTAGTAACATATTTAAGCTTGACATAAGTAATACATAATCAAAGTAATTTAATTGACATACATTCTCTGGGTCATGCGCTCTATGAGAATCTCCAAGTGATGCTATACTAAGCTGCACTGGGACATTTTCTGCAGTCGTACGATGCGTTGTGCGTCGCCCTGAACGAGCACGTCTAGATCGGTCGGCCATACCTATCCAAAAAAAGTTAAATAGAAATCATGTAATTATAATGCTTAATTTTTTATAATTAAAATTATAAGGTGTACAACTGGATTACCTTGATGATGAAGGATTGTTTGGACAAGTGGTTCTATTGTGACCTATTTGTTTACAAAAACCACAAGCTTTGTTTGATCTACTCGGGGGTTCATCCATCGTGGTACGAAACCTATTCATCCGTGGTCGCCCTGCACGACGACGAAAACTTGGTGCCTTCAAAGGGATTATTCCCTGCTCTTCAGTAAAGGTGGGCCATATGTCTTTCAGGGGGAAGACATGGAACAGTTTGGAGTACGTAGCAATATACTCCTCGACCAGAAATATTGGAGATACAAAAGCATTATGATCCCATCGCCTATAACCAGCAACTGCAACGACATGAACGCAAGGAACATGGAAAATTTGTGGTTTCAAACACGTGCACGTACAGCTTGATGTATTTATTATCTCGACCTTGTTTGCTCGAGAAGACGTATCAATAACTTCAAATTCATTTCTGTTAATCGTGACTGGTTCAGGACACCGTCGAGCATCACGCTCAGCTCTTTGTATGACTACCATGGTGCGTGGAACGAACTTTGATTGGCCTTCCACAACCCACTTTCCAGATTCGGATGATCTTCTTAAGAATAATGCTACTAGATTATAGTAAATTGACATCACTAATCCTTGTATCGGCAATCCTCAAGCTCGTTTAAGCACCCCGTTAAAACATTCAGATGCGTTTGTGGTCATTATACCATAACGACAGCCTTCATCAAATAATAGGGTCCATTTGGCAACATCGCGTTGGACCAACCAATCGAATGCCTCCTGCTTTGTCATTTTAATTTCATCCATCATTCGATTGAAATATGCGTAATCATCAGTATTTCCGGCAAAATACATTTTGTTACTCAGGCCCTCACTATCTGGAGTTCCCAAACGACGGACCATTTTTTTAAAATTTTCGCGTAAGTGACGAAGGCAATGCCTATGAACAGCATTAGGAAATACTTCCCTGCACCCGCGCACTAACCCTAGGTGCTTATCAGAAACTATACACAACTTCTGTCGATTAGCAACCACTGGTAAAAGATGTTGTATCTTTTGTAGGAACCAAATCCACGATTCATTGCTCTCCGATTCTACAACTGCAAAAGCTAGTGGAAACAATCCGCCATTTCCATCAATGCCTACTGCTGCTAAGAGGGTCCCTCGATACTTCCCAAGCAAGAATGTCCCATCCATACTCAGCACCGGTCTACAGTGTTGCCACCCATATATAGAAGGACCGAATGCCCAAAAAAGTGACTTAAAGCGTGCAGTAGGTACGACATGAATATTATATACAGTGCCTGGTTGGGATAACCTTAAGGCTTCCATAAAACAAAAAAGCGAGTAATAAGATTGCTCGTAGCTACCAAAAGTGGCTTCAATAGCTTTTCTACGTGCATCCCATGCCTTCATGTATGATATCTTAATGTCATACTTCGACTCCATTCTAGCTATAATCTCCTTTGGCTTCATGT